GCCTGGTGGGCTCTGTTTGCATCTTGCAAACCACTATATATATATATAAGGAACCAGGGGTTCGTTCGGTCTATGGTTTAGTCTTTGGAACCACTGGTTACCAGCTGTAGTGGTAACTGGATGCAGAACGTGGGCATGTGATGCCAAAAGAACACAACATGACGTGAATGATGCATGGCAACCCAGGCGGCATAGCTCGCACCTCAAACTCCTCTGAAACCTCTATATTGACCACAAACCCTAAATAGCTTTGTGCCCCCCTGAGAACAGAAAAACAACTGCAACAAATAGCAAAAGGCTAGAATACAGTGGCTGCCGGGCTTGGTGGCGAGGGGGAACCCGCCCCACCGGCCCTTCTGCTTGGGAGGGCCCAGAATGGGATTGGAGGTCACCGGGTGCCTGGATTTCCGTCCACTAAGGCCCGGAGTGAATTGACATCCAACGCTGCTGGATGAACACCACCACTCCCTGGCACCAAGCATCCTTCCGCTCCTGACAAAAGACTCATTTTTCGGCAGGTTTTGGGGGACCTTCGTTCGTTCACCTTCGTTCAGCCTCTAAGGAAGAAAGCACGCCTGATTAAAACAAAAAGGATTAGAGAGGCCTTTGAAGACCCTCAGGATTGAAGGTCACCTTCATGCCTCATGTGGAGATCTCAAGACTTTGGTGGTTGTTCTTTCTTACCCTCACTCAGGTTGGACTCCTTTTCGTCTTCAGTTACTTTGGGTGCTAGCAATGGCTCCGTCAGCAACCCTCATTCCGTCGACTTCCATCGTAGGTGCCAGTAGATGCTTTCCGAAATGGCGCTGCATGGAACTCATTGAAGCTGCGGATGTTGTGAGGATCAGCAAAGAATCCAACCTCCCTTCGCACCCAGTCCTTGTAAGCCGCCTGAAAAGCATTCAAGAAAACCATGCAGTGACTCCAGACAATGAGTCAAAGTCCGCTATAGATTGCTTCCCTCCACAGCCCGTGAATGTCGCACAGAAATGGACACGCTATGGATCCAACGCGAACCAACCAGCTCCATAGAACCCCCCATCTCTGGCCCCAAACACATGTCCCCAGCTCCATCGTTTCAAGTCCGACGGCAAAGGAGTTCACGAATCCCAACTAGTTCCGCACATGTCAGTACTGCAGGTTAAAGGATGCAAAATGAGTAACACCAGCCTCCAACCTGCAGGCGTTCGGTCAAACAGGCCCTCTCTCTGGTCAAACAGGGCGGGACCCGACAGGGGTTCCAAGCACCGAAGCGGAGGATATGGGACCAGGAGCCCCACATAACTCTAGGGGTCCAGTCATACCGAACCTCAGGTACGGTGATGTGTTCGACACTCTTATGATCTCTTATGTGGGTTTTGAGGCTCCAAGTGCCTTCTGAGGTTCGGTATGACTGGATTTGCAGGGATGGGGGGGGAAAGACTCGGTTCCAAACTTTGGGACCACGAGCCGTTTCGGGACACCGGAAGCTTCACCGGCCGGTGGTTGGGTTGATCCATCGTGTAAGGCCAGATGCATTACACCAGTTCCATCCCTGAGACTCTGGGAACTACGATTTGCTCAACGAATCGGAACCCATATACCCCTTTTGGGGCTCCAAGCAGCACCTCCGATGCGGTTCGGTGGGACTGGGGGCCCGGGTGCCAGAGGGTTCAGTCCCTACCAAACCTGAGAAGGTGGGGCAGGAGACCTAGTAGGGTACTATTAGGGAACACCAAAATCACTCGAACCAGGCACACAAAACCATGGCACTGCCGATTCACCCAAAAATTTGTGTGCTGGTCGTGTATTTCAATAGGGGATCCCAAACAATGGGCTCTTGGTCTATTTGGAACTTTCGAGGGTGCTCCAACTGGGAGGTCTCCCCCCATTGGGAGGTCTCACACCGACATCTGCAGAACAAGTCAGTGATCATCTCCGGAGTCGACCTGTTTGTACCTCGGAACATGGGTACAAGTAGTATCATGGTGTATCTTTAAGGGGTCATGTCATCTCTCGCCCACAGAGGTTGAAGGGACCCTCTCTTGACCGACTAATCCCCATGTACTGCGGGTGACGGATCCGATCCGTGGCCGTTTCTCGTACTCGAAGTTGGGTGGAAGACGCCACACCCTGCCGGTCCTCCCCCCGGTCCAATCCTCGTGCCGAGACACCACGCGGTCCTCCATGCTTCCCCGGGGCGGTCCCGTCGCAGTGTTCTGCGGCGGCGTCTCATCGGAGAAGATCGAGGTCCTGAGGCGAAAGGAGTCGTGAGGGTCGAACACATCGAGCTCTGAGGGAAAAATACAGTAAATTGGGAGGTGGTTGAGGAGGTGGTCAGGTGCTTGAGCTGGTTGAGGAGTCGGTTGAGGAGTCAGTCTCCAGTCCCATGGAGAAAGTGCGAGAAAGGTGAGCTGAAACGGAAGGGTGTTGAAATGAAAAGAAGCAGTTTGGGTCCCTTACCAAACCCTAGGGCTCCTGGCCCACTTCCGTTTCGAAGGTGGGACTGGGGGCCCAGGTGCCAGAGAGGGGTCAGTCCCTATACCTTCTGAGAAGGTGGGGCAGGAGCCGTAGGGAAAGGGAATATATCATCAGGAACTTATTGTACACAATGAAACTTGACTCTAGAAATCAGCTCGTCTGTGATGGTGGGTGGAGGATTTGTGGGATGGCCTGTCTACGTGTGGTCATGTGCAACTTCTGTGCAGCCCTTGTGACTGCTGGGGCCAAAAGTGTTTTCTAGACCCCAGGCGACTGGATGGTGTGCGCACCCCCACCATCCTGCAACTGGCGAGAGGTCTGGGCTACATGGATGGAACATGGTCTCAAAGACGAATGAACATGAAATGCTCATACCAAACAGTTGGCTTTCACCACTGCGTCACCAACCCATGATTGTCACTAACAGTGACTTCTACAGCACCCTCCTGTAAGGGCAACGTCCACGCGGCCCATGGTCCGCTCCAATGCGTAGCTACGCGAGCTAAACCGTCCGCCCAGGAGCAAGGTGGTATGCACTGACGAATCGTGCTCCCCACTGGAGAGATGCTGACCCGTGTGAGTGGCCATGGCAAACACCGGACCCGGTCGGGTGCTGGACCGTAAGTGTAAGGGTTAGGAGGTCCACTGCTGGAGAGGCGTCTAGACTTAGGCTGGGAGGGTGAAGGCGAGGCCCGGTTGGCGCAGTTTCGGTCTGTGCAAGATTGATCTAATTGAGGAATCCTAGGCGACCTACCTAGGCGGGCCTAGAGGTGTTTTACCAAAAAATGTTGGCTATATGGAGGCCTGGCTGAAGTCTAACTGGCCCTGGCTCCCAAATGTTTAAACAACAATACTGTCCAAAAATATCTTTCAGTGCCAAACATCTGGGTCTCTGCTGAAGTCCTTAAGAACACTTCTCCGCACTGCGTTCCGCCCACAACGGTCGAGTTCGGAGAAACTACTCGCCGAGAGGAGGCGGCCCGTGCACCCGCAAGGCAGTGGCACCTTTGAGCCGTGTGGCGTGCAAAGAGTCTATGGTGGATGAAGAACACACACACACACACCCCTGGATGGCGGGATGGTTTTACATGGTTGATGTTTTCATCCACATGTGGGTTGATGTTTTCAACAGCACCTCCAGATGCTAATTCAACAGTCTGCTTCTAAGTTCGCGCAAGTGACAACTAGTATGTTTGCCTACAGCCTACGTTAGTAGGTCTCGAGACACCTCTGGACTCCAAGATCTGACGCACAACGGTAGCAAGCCAGCGGGTCGACAGAGTCATCGACGGGAGACTTCAGGTGTACAACTGTACAGTTGCAGTAGTTTTCAGCAAATGCCCAATTGCCCTAGACTTCCAAGACCATTAAAACATGGGAACGACCTGGTAAAATCCCTAGTTGATTCGGCATTCAGCCTATTAAATTGTGCAATGGTTGTTGGAAGCCTAGGGAATGGTGACCCTGCGTGATTCCAACATACAAAACGACCTTCGTGTAGTTCCTCCCATATCAATGCAAACTTGTTCCATCAATCTTCTGGGTGACGGCCAAAACTGACTACACCTTACCTCCCAAAAACTAACATGGATCCTGACAAAGGCCACCTAGAAGTGTGTCTTCCTCTGACTCTAACAACCTGTGGTGTTCAGGGTCATGTTAGTCTTCAAGGGGAGTAGATCTCAACGATCCCAATCCTTGTGGACTTAAGTCCGACTTCCACACAGAGCTTCGGCAGTTCCGCCCAAAGGAAGACGCATGAAAGGGATGCCAGGCAAGGCAGTCGACAGTAAGTTTGACCCATCTGCCATTGTTCGAGGCAAACGGCACTCTGAAACGCAACAAGTCTTCTCTGGTTCTGCACGAAGGTGGGAGAACGGAGGACCATCAGGACCATCTGTTGCTGTTTGGGAGGCTGGAGCTCTTTCAGCTTGGCTGTGTGGCAGCCAAACGTCGGTGAATGGGAGGCCATTTGGATTGGTGAGACAAGTCATTAGCAGCAAAACTCGCGTGCATATCAATGGCTTCAAAAATCGAATGCATCTCAAAAAAAAAAAAAAACATCCCACTTGTTCCTTGTTCTTTTGCAACATCTGTGATATGCCGCTATGCCTTTCCACGCTTTATGCTTAAGGTGCGCCAAACAAAAGATTCCAGTTTCGGCATGTGTTAACAGGTGCTAAGACTGAAAGCACATGTCTTTGGCACAAAGACTGAAAGCACCCCACTTAGAGAAAAGGGTTTCTAAGGTCGGCTCACGCACTACCAGTCTCACTTCAAATTGACTTCACCTCACTCGATTTGACCATTCACAGCTTCTCACTCACGTGCCTGGCAACAAACTCAGTGCTCCTGATGGAAAAAAAGAGCAGCTTCCCTCACTCCGCACGCATCTCTTTCTTCCACGCGACTTTGGGTCAGAAGTTCACATGCAGTTCATCACTACAATCACGTACAACAACCTCTACACCTAGAGTCCCCAGCCAAAATTGCAACATAACATCACATCAAACCAACAAGCTATGAACTTCTTTGGGGTCCCGAGAATGCCCCATGGGCTGTAGACTTGGTGAGTCGAACTCCAGGTGGTCTTATTCTGCTGGAACACCCGACTCGGCTCTGCCATCAGCAAGGCCCAGGAAGCTGACACCAGAGTGCAGGTCGGTGTGCTTCGCTTGTCCCGTTTTAGGACAAAGCCACACAGCCACAAACCGTTGCAGGTCATCGCGTCTTGGACGGTGATGAACCAGCCGACCAGCTTGGAAGAGCAGATTTGCCCGTGACCAGCGAGGGGTTGCGTGGAGTAACCAGCCTTCTTTCCCCTCCAGCTCCTGTCCATCTTTCTGCTGGGTCGTTTTCTTGGGGATGTGCAGCGGCCAGGCGCCTGTCCTTCATTCCTCCAACAAGACGCCCACCACCTGTCCCACTAAGGCAGTGCTGCTCCGCCCAGTAGCAGCGACCTGCCGAAATCGTCGGGTCCAGGGCAGGCCGAGGTGGACATCCGAGGTGGACATGATTGGAAAGGGACCCCCAAATACATGTATAGTGAATTGAGAGTAGATGGCACAGACTCCCCAAGAGGTGGTTTATATGGACCCCTATCTAAAGGACATCATGGGGTCTGTGCCATCTACTCTGAAACCACTGTATGTAGAACAAACCATACCATATGCAGCACTATAGAATTAGTGGCTGCATGCATCTTTCTAGCATAAGCTCCGTATAGTATTTGTAGATAGGCTGCATTGATGCTGAACATGTTGAATCAAAGCTTCGGCTGCAACACCTTTCAGCAATCACTCCAGAACAATTCCATACAATTCCATTCATGACTCCTTTTACACCTATGGTTGTGAATTATGACCTCCCAGCTATGAGATGAGTTGTTGGAAGTTCTGGAACTCCTGATCTCAGTCGAGAACGCAGATCAGCTGGGGGATCCGACTTCGACAGTGGACCATCTTGCTTGTGGCTTGGGAGCGTCCATCCAGGACATCCCCTTTTGAGGGATATGCGGATCCACTCAAACTCGAGGGCAATCCACTCGAAGGACATGTCACAACCTCTCTAACCTCAAGGATCAACCCGAAAAAGAGGCTGAACGGAACAAGAAAAAAAGATCAATTCAGCAACTCTCGGATTGGGTCGCCTGAAAGGCTTGAACCTCCTCCGACTCCATCTGCTCAAAGCGCGCCAGGCGCCTAAAGAATCAAGCAGGTCGTGCGTGAGGAGTGCGGGATCGGGGATTTGGATGGCTCAAGTCATATAGTACTTAGTTGTTATAGTGCATTGAGGTGCTCATTGATATAACTTGATATCATATGTCTTGAGGTGCTCACTGATACATGAAGTCTCATTCCCAAACACTACATGGGACTCGAAGATATACATTGACCCCTGTTCAACCATCCCAATGTAACTAGGCAAATACATGGATGGTCTCGGCATTGGTAAGTCTTCGAAGTTCCATGAATTTTCTGCAAGCTGCACTTCAAATGTGGCACATGAGTCACCCCAACATGTTGCACAAAAACCTGACTCCGGAGTCGAATTCCCAGCTGTTTGTTTTGAGTGCGGTGAACCCGCAATCTCCCCCAACATCATAAGTAAAACAACCAGACTCCATGGGACTGCCATATTTGCCGATCAGTTGGGGTGGTTGAAAAGGTGTCAATGGGGCGGCAATTCCATTCCAGTCCCATTAGTCGTGTCTGGGATAAGATAAAACCAACCACTTGAAGGTGGTCGACCTTTTCTGGATAGACCACTGTGGTCCACGGTCACTGAGGGCCGTTTCGGCGCAGCGACGCCGTCTTAAGCCGTTGGACGACCCTCAGCACCACCCTCTGGACCCTCAGACCGTGAGCCGATCATCTAGACCTTCTGAGCCTTTCCACGGCCCTTTCACACACCGAACACACCGTTTTTCTGGGTGTCCGGAGTGCAGGCTCTGGTCCCTCTAGACTGGCAAGCCCACAGGGGAGCCTGTATTGGGCAACATTGTAGGTCATAAGGGTGTGCAATTCATGGTATAATAGACAAAGACCGCCAATGGGTTTTGCTCTATTCCCTTCTTCCAATGGGTCTACACACGACCTATATAGCTTGAGAAAAGCAAAGCCGAACAACATCAACACTCGAAACACCGGATCCTCAGCTTCAGCCAAGGCCACAACAGCAAACGTCCCTGTACACGCCACTCGGCCGCAAAGGTGCTTCCCGCACTGGTCGGCAACTCCGGGATCGACCATGGTTGGCCGTCCACCAGGAAGCTCAGCTGAGAAGCCTCAAAAACCGAAGATCTGTGTCTCTGTGAAGTGGGAGTGTGTGCAAAAAACAATGAAGATGCCTGCCCCTCACACCTACTGAAAAGTAAGAAACAAAAAACCAGCAAGAGGGAACAAATAACGGGGATACCCAATCTAATGTTGAAACACTGACTCCCTCCGTTTCCCTGGAAAATAATTACACCAAACTTTCCACCTGTTAACATCTCCCTTGCCGCAGCATGGTAAGAGGCACATCGCGGACACTCTGGTCCCACGACGTAAAACTAGACAAAAAGGTGACACAAACGAAGTGTTAGATTTGAGTCCCAAGGTAGGTACATATTCCATGCATGCACATACAGTACATGCAGCCCAGTCATGAAATATGGGGAAGACACACTATCACTAATTGCATTCGGCATTAAACTCATGTGATGGCTATTGCTAACTGAACACCCAATCCCCTACAGGTCAGTTTGACCTCATTCTACTGGAGTTGCTCGTAGAAAAAAGCACTACTCAAGGAGGTTTTCAGGACCAGGTTAATTTGACTGAGTCTGACTCAGACTGAGTCGCAATAGTTCAGCTGGCATTCTCACCAAGCATGATGCACTATGTGCACAACTTCCATCATCTTCCATCCAAAGAAACCAGCCCATCGGCACACAGAAACAGACCCATGGGTCTGCTGCTTCCATCCAGATTCATGATTCTTTCAAGGAGAGGACTCCACAGAGTCGAGACGCAACCCAGCGAGATCGTGAGAGGCTTGCCCCCTTGCTTCCATGCTTCCCCACCTTTCTTAGGCGACGCCCCCTGGGCCAACTTCTGGCCAATCCGTTCATTGAACAATCCTCCGGAAAACCCCTCATCCTCTCTTGGGGCCTCCAGGACCAGCAAATCTTCCAGAAAAACCTCGACCAACGCACGCCGACCCAACGCACGCCTTCGCATCGTCCAACTCAAGGACACATCCAATGGTGCATTGCTTGGGCACCGGCCTGCTTGGGCAGCCAAGTTCCCGGCGTTTTCTTTGTCTCCACATCTGATCACTGACGAAAAACAGCTCCATCCTCATGGTGGAGCTCTAAGGCTGAGGAATGTGACGGACCCCCAGTCCATCCCAGTTCTCTCAGTCTCCCGGGGTCTCCCTGCCTGGCATCCAGCAAGCGTTCCTGATGCCATAGGCCCTCAGGACCCAAAGTCCAAGTCTCTTCAGATCCTGGTAGCGGATCTCATGACACATCCACATGGCTCTGGGTCGAAACCTGGAAAACACAAACACCCTTATAAGAGTAGAGGACATGTTCCACGTAACCGTTGAAAAGGGAAGTAGGTGAGTTGACCCTGGTAGGGTCGCTCTTCACCGTTTCTTGTAGTCTATTCACAGTCCCCCACTGTTGACCCTGTCACCTCTCCCCATGTCCTCACCGCTACGGACCTTCGACCTTCGGCCCCATCGGTCGGGGGCGGTCGCTGCGAACCACGAACCACTCGACGGATTGCATCAGCAATTCAACTGGCTTCTCATTGATGTGCATGTGTACGTAGATTGTTACCCATACATGGGTGCGCTGGGAGAAAGAAAGAAAGAAAGAAAAACATAATAAAGAAAGAAAGGAAGGAATTAAACAATAAATTTCTAGAAAGAAAGTCATTGAAGCAATAGTCAACTCTCATTAAAAAGGACGACAACAACAACACCAGTGACACGTTCTACCCCCCACCACCCATCACGGAGGTCACATGACAGCATCCTGAGGGGCTGGAGCATCGGATGCCTGGCACCGAATGAGACACCGAAGGAGACAACCAGGTACACTCTGACGAACCACATGGAAATGGAAAACCCCTTGTTGGTAGAGGAAAGTCGTCTTCCAAGGGACAATGCCATCCACTTCAGAGGGTACCTGGATCTTCGTGACCGTGTTCGTGGATCACCTGCTTGGTTCGGTCACGGTCTCAAGCCGAACCCGGACTCGGGTCACGAACAGAAAGCTTCAACAGGGCATGTGCTGAAGAAGCTGGTACAGGGATTTACCCAGGTACCAGGATTATCCAGGATCCAGGTACATCTTGCCCAGGCACAGGGAAGAACAACCTCTTAGCCGTACAGGGTCAACCACCTGGAACATACAAACCCTCAGTAAAACCAGGACAAGCTCTCCAGACCTGATCAAATCGCAAGTAGTTTATACCTGATCTGCCCCAAATAACTATAAAGAAGACTGGATCAACCGCGAAACACCTATCCGATGACTCAGTGAGTAACTATAGCTCGAAAGAACTATACTATGAAACCAAACCCTAGGGCTCCAACAGTCTTCTCAGAAGGTAGTTAGACCCCTCAAACCGACCCCAACCACCTTCTCAGAAGGTGGTTGGAGCCCTAGGGAGGATCATTTTTTAGTTGCCTCTCATGGTATAGTTTCTGTCGTCACTAGTAGAGCTATAGTTGCCTCGTGGTATAGTTGCTATAGTTGCCTCGAAGAACTTGAGGTAACCTCGAAATGAGTAGACGCTCAAATGGTCCACACGCGAGCGCCCAACCTACACGGAAGTTGTTGGTCTCGGGCCCCACCAGCGTCTCAAAGTAGACCTTCCTTGGTGCAATGCGGTCAAACGGCTGATGGAAGAGACGCTGCATGGCAGCAGCATTAGCTTCATGAAGTCTGCTGTGGTTGTTGTTGTTGTTGTTGTTGCTGCTGCTGCTGCTGCTGCTGCTATCTGTTGTTTTGTTGTTTGGTGATTATTGTTTTGGTTTCCCACGCATGTGCTATATTCGCCAGTCTTATTTTCTATAGCCAGGGGAGCCCTAAGCAGTGCTCTTGAAGGGCAAAGCCATCATCGCCGGGTTCAAACGCCCCATGCGTTGAGAATGACAGAAAGGTGTGACTCCAGTCCCCTAGACCAAATGGTACCGCAATGTGAATGTGGTGAGATAAGTGTATGCCCAACATCTTTCCAACCATTGACTTAATGTCTTTTGGACGAAACCCTAAGTTCACTTCGGATTTTACACTGCAAGACCAACTCAATCACCGTTTAATGGTCTTGGAAGGCTAGGGAATATAATACATGTATATACATACGATATACTTATTTACATATATTTATATATATTTATCGATATATATATATATATACTAGATTTAAAAAACACATATATATATATATGGAAATAGCTAACTATGGACACATATATTGTCATATAGCCCCTGTTCCTTTCACACCTTCTATTCACCTCCCTTCTCAGCAAGCCACCTCCCTGTCCCACGCACGTGGGAGGCGGAGCTGACCCAGCCATCGCCTGCGAGTTCGTAGGTGCCAGCGCCCACACCTGACCGTCGCCGGGTCGCGGCATCCCAAACACTCCATGACGATGAACTGGACAGTTTCGGTGAAACACATTCCCGCTTCCGGTGCACATGATGGAATCAAATTTATGGTTAATGAGGATGCCAGCCTACCCACGTGGCCTAACAGTGAGAAGGCTTGAGAAGATAACATGTGCCAATCTACGGTGAGTGTACTTGAGCCCAGTCTGGTCTAGTTCAACTACCAGTTTGCAAAGTGCTTGAACCACCGAGCACCTAGGGAAATTCAGTAATTGTGAGCTGTTGATTGATAAGAACCCCAGGACTTGGAGATGTGAAGGCATTCTGGTAGGGGGGTCATTTAACAACACTCTGCATCGCGTCATATTTGCCTGTATTGGGGTGGTTGCAGAGGGGTCAATGTGGGCAAATATTCTGTGGATGCGGCTGGAAAACACCGCATCATTCTCCTGAGGTTCCACTTCAGATGGTGGCCTTTCATGGATCACTCCTATAAGGAATCCAAAAACGGGGCAGGAACTGTCTGGCTGATTCGGCGCTGCCGTTCAGACGGCTATGGACCGTCCGAAGTTCTTTCTACGTGGCTAGTATATTGATGTAGGCATGCAACTAGATTCACAAAGTGCCTCAGAAAATGGAACCTTTATCCCCTGTTTTTTGGGTGGTCGTGTGCCATATATAGCTAGGGTACCAACTATTATATATATATATAGATACTCTGGCGATCTGAACGCCAAATGCCCCAAGGTAATTTGATCGATTTCATGTTATTTCACACTGTACACAGCCTATGTACAGGAGTGGGTAACATGGCCCAGAATATAGAAACAACTCTTTTTTTCCAAATACGCTCTCACATGGATTCATTTGCGGGGCCTCATCTTATCGCTGACCAATTGGTGAACCGGTCGGCGGCACACCATGCACAAAAGGGACTTCACCTCAAAATATTCACCAGGAGTTCCAGCGGCAGAATTGAATCTGCCAGTCAGCGGAGGTTCGGCATCAGCACGGAACTCCCAAGTTCACCATCTTCCGCACCTGAAGCTCCATTGGAAAGCTCCATGGGTTCCTGGATGTCCTACTTTGAGCCTCCGCCCCCAGCCCCGCCTCGCACCAGCACTAGCTCCTCGGGTAGTAGCTGTCCATCCAGCTGAGCCGAACACACGGCGCCCAGGGGGCACTCCTTCGCCCAGCCGCACTGGCCTAGTGAAGCACCGGTGCGTTTGCATCGGCGACCGGGTCGCGACCGGGTCGCGGCCGTTTCGGTGGCCAGCGAGGTGGTTTCGAAGCGGGTGAAGCGGCTTCGAAGTCAAAGATAGAACATGAGGCGACCGAGCCGATTGAACACACAAGAAGGGACCTGAAGTACTTTGAGACTCCAGGTCCATTGACAGAAGACTGTCCAAGACTTCAAGGATCCAGCAGTGAAATGGGATTCCAAAAAAGACTTCGACCACCAAACGGTGATCACCCCAAATGAAATGTATTGACCAATGTATTGACATGTATTGGAAACCGTGCCACCTTTCGTGGATCACACCTATCTCGCCATCTCTTCGCCATCTACTCTTCGCCTCAGACGTTGACCTCTCTCCGCTTGGCTTCGGCGCTCGGTTCGGCGCCTTGACAGCAAAGACAACACACCGGAGCTTCGAGGATCTTCGCGTCGATGAGCTCATGGACATCCACCTGCGCTGACTGCGCTCGGCGCAGCGCGATGGGTAGAGGTGGATGTCCCGGACCAAAACCGCGGTTTCGGACCAATCGAAGGGCCCGACGCTATGCCATGTACACCTGGAGTCCACCAGATTCGCGAAAACGGGGGTACCTGTTCTGATGTCATGTCCGTTTTTCGGTGTCGCTGCCTTCAGGAGCCCCTGGGAGGCCGTTAGTATGTTAACTGATGTTGACTGCAAGTGTTTTCATGGTTGTTCACCAACATGTTTATAATACATGTTCAATCACATGTGGGGGGTGGGGAGGGGCAGTGACGTTCGTTCATTCGTTCGTTGGTTTGTTGAATGCGCGACAGTACGTCTTGGACACCGCAGCAGGATCGGCTGTGGTCGTGGATGTGGATCAACACAAAATCGGCATTTTGCGTGGGCCTGCCCATACCAACACGCAGGGCCCGAAAGGACGTGACACCATGTGTTCTGGGTACTTTGGAAGGTCCAGGTGCCTGAGTTGTTCACGAAAAGGGGGTCTGCCCTCTATTCAACCAACCAAGGCCGTAAATACGGCCATCCATGCAAGGACCGTGTAGTCCGGGTGCCGGAACCACTAACCGCAGTGAAGGAGTCGGACTTTCGAGCGAAACTTGCCTGGAAGACTCATTGGCTTCTGAGGTACTTTTTCCCATCTTTTCCCCTATAGGGATCCACATGCCCTTTGAGAAGGTGATGTGTTCGACACTGTTAATGATGTAGGTGCCATTGTCCGGTCCAGCCGTACCGAACCTGAGGTTCGGTACGGATCCCGAGGGATTGAGATTCCAGGTCTGTTGTTCTGACTGGTGGGCTGAAACAGGGTCGAAGCCCGGTTTGGAGAATATCCACTGAGTGGGTGGGGGAATGGCCATACCTTTGTGATATGTCACCCGAGGTAGAGACCTGGCTCCATGAGAAGTAGAGACCTGGCTCCAAATCACGGGCGACGGATGCAAAGGATAGAAAAGGTAACATCATAATCAATCGTTTACTCAGTACAGTACTCATGATTACTCCAAATAACATGTGCTGGATCTTTTGACAAAGACAAGCAATTGTAACAAACATATCCAGGACCCTCCTGTCCGGGTGTCTATATTTATAGCCACTCCTCCAAGCTGTTAACCTGTGATGACTGGGGTGTCCATGTCTACCCCGAATCCTGGGGGTCCTGGTATCCTGCTGCTCTGCTCTGCTGCTCCGTCGGCGCCTGTGGGCCGAGATCCTGCATGGCGCGCCGCAGGATCACCACGGCGGCCAAAGCCACGCAGGCCATGACAGAAAGGCCCACAGCGAGGTCCAGGTACTGGCACCTGCATGTGGCGCTATGCATGGCAGGGAGACCTTCTGGGCCTTCCGACTTTCTGGGAGAAGGTGAATAGAATGAAGGTAGACGCCGAGAAAGGGGCGAGAGGACTCGGGGCAAAGCGCCTCCTCTTCAACTACGCTGGTGGGTGTGGTGCTTGGCCCGGGCACCTTTCCGCGAGAAAACCCATGTGGTAAGGGCAATGCCTGGCAGGGCCTTACGGGGTGGGGTCTCCCAGCGTAGCGGCGCCTTCCGCAGCGGTCACGGGGCTTGCAATCCGCACCGGACGGTCGGTGTTCTGTGGGTCCCTGGATTTGCGGGCAAAAACAGAAAACATGCATTGCAAAAAGATTCCACCAGGAACATGCGGGTGACCCAGTTCGCTGTATTGTTGTTCAGTTGTTTGCAGGGTTTACCTGAGGACTCCTACACTTTCAAACCTTCAACGTCACTCAACCGCTGTTCGCGTTGGCGTTGCCCGCGCGCGCGTCTCACAACATCCCCGGGTGCTCACGTGCTGGACGTGGCGCAAAGCGATGGAGAAGTTGTGACTGCCATGCAAAAGCATCGGCAAGAAGGGAGAGAGGAGGTAGCTGGAGCAACCTCGAAGGCAAAGGTGCCTATTGAACCTTTGATCCTCTCTATGTCATGCAGAGAAGACCACCAGTGCAGTGTAAAGAAAATCAATCATGGCCACACAGTGCCCTGGGTTCAAATCAAATCTGCAAAATAAAGAACCCAAAGAACGTGTGATAGAATTGAAACAAGACAAATCGACCATAATCAAGTTCAGAATGCATTGGGAAGCGTCTGGAATGCACGAAAAACATCCTCTACCAGTGCATCAAGCTTCGTCTCTGCACGGGAGTGTGCTAGAATCTGGTGTCTCTCAAAGTACAACATCCGGGAGTCCCAAAGGGGTGGTTTTATTTTAGTCCCGAAGTGAGTGGATTATGGACACCCCTAACCTCCATTGAGCACCCCTTCGTGACTCCTGGATGAATGACTTTCACAAACTAAAACTATTTCTCCAAAGAGGGTTCACTCGATTCGCAAAACTTGACTGGACGTTTCACCCATTTACATCCAGCTGGTTGGCCCCAGAAAAGGCTGACAAGGACACACGGATGATTTCAGGACAGGAGTTCTGTGCTGATTCGGTTGCACGTACATGGCTCATTCTGGCTCCGATTAGGTTGATCACACCTGCCACCTGCCTTTGGCAAAAGTCCACATCAACACAAGAGCTGTCTAGGCAGCCTGCGGGTTGGCGAGTCACAAGGGGTCATCGCTTTTGGGGTCATCTGGGGGAAGTCCAACCAAACGAGATGACAGTATCAAACGTTTACCAGGACCCATAAGGGATGGTTAATGGAGACCCCTTATACCCCTTTTCAAAGACTATATGAATCAACCAACCACTTAGCTGCCCTGGTTTTCATACCATTCGGTCCTTCGTCCCCTTCCGGCGGTGTCCGCCGTTCAGTGGCCTTCCCCCCCACATCGTCGTTCGCTTGACAGCTCGGCAGCTCGATCGTCTGGAGAATCTCAAGCGAGACAAGAAGGCACCATGCAAAAGGCCATACCTCCAGCGAGACGCCCCACGTTCCCTATATCGGGATTGTACCGAAGCGACCCGGTTTGACAACGGGCCCTCAAAAGCCACCATAAGAGTGTTGAACACATCACCGTACCTGAGGTTCGGTAAGACTGGATCCCTATAGGGAACGTGGGCGTGATCGAGGTTCTCAGGTTCCCAGGATCTGGTCGATGGAGGCGGGCCGCTGGGGCGGTTCTCACAAGCGTGGAAAAACGGTGAGAAGCCATGGCTTCCAGGGATCTGTTCTATGTGTTTGTTGCAAGTGGTTCTTTTTCATCCCTTTTTGCAGGGTTTGCAGGATTGACGTTCACCAAGGGTTTGCATGCCCCTCATTCACGACGAGTTCTTGCTTTGTTCATACTTTGGTGTGGGACACGGGTTGTGTGGGACCTGCATCTTTCAATCATGTGAGGCTCTCAAGCAACAACTGTGTTCGAGTGCCACACGGCAACCACCCGAAAAATGAGCTGTGGTCAATTTGTCCTTCTTGGGGGTCTAGGCTGGGGCAGCTACCTCAGACTGAGCTACACACGTAATCCATGAAGCAACTGAAGCATCTGCCCATGTGAATCGAGAAATGCATCGATGGATCGAGCATGATCGAGCATCGATGGATCTGATCGAGCACGTCTGCACACAGAAAGCGCATCTTCTACACCCCCGCGGACCGACCCTGAGAAGGAAGACCCCATTGTGACCCCATGCTGGTGGTTTCGACCAAATCCGAAGACCAACCCTGTGAACCCAGTGGTTTTAGGGGGGTCCGCTGGGTTGGTCTGCAAGGGGGGTGCATCAGGTATATGCAGACCAGTAAATAGATATATATAGAAAAGTAGATCCCCACTAAAAATGTATTGGAAACCGTTTCGATCTATTTGGGGACCAATATAAATGAAATGTTTTATGACTTCAATGAACTTTCATGGTGATAGAATATGTTAGAATCGAATCATCGCACTTTAAGGAGGGGTGGTGAAGCTTCACTGGTGTTTGTCTAGAGTCCAGTCCCAAGCGTTCTCTAGTCTTTTTCTATAAGGTACGTAGACTGATTCAAGAAACCGCTCTGAATGACTTTACATCTGAAGACTTGTCTTCATCATCGCCCACCGCCCGCAAAAACCCAAAGGCCCAGACCTCGGAAGACCGAGCTGCATGAGATGGTTCGGCACCGCCGTCCCGGCTCGCAACAGGGCCACCATCAAGTTGCCTCCGCCCACGTAGATGGCATTCCTGAAGTGACGACAGGTGCCACACCGAGACTCCGCCCGGTGCGGAGACGACCAACCGCGACATGTCGAGATGAAGTGCACAAGGGCGCACAGGCCTTTTTTTCAAGCATACATGTATGTACTGATATCTACAACATGATACAGTATTCATATTATACTATACCATGGAGTCATTGGGGAAGCTTCTTTCTACCAAGCTGCTCCACCGCTGCGAAGCCGAGCCCGGCTGCACCGCCATAGCAGCTGAGGGCCCAGGGGTCGCAAACGAAGGGAAGCCAAAGAAGACGGCGGACGCACAAGAACTTCAGGAGCTCCTCACGGAGAAGACATGTCCATGAACGGAAACAAACCGACATGTCTTCGATGTTTTTTGTGTTTTGAATACATGTACATGTCATGTTGAAGAATGACGATGGTCATCGCGCAATCTTGTTGTTCTATCTTTTGTTTGTTGAGAAACATGGGTGCTGCGGGTGCTAAAAGATGGGGACTAACGGGACTGAGAATATCAACGTTCAAAGGGAGAGGCCCGGGAAGCCACCCCTGATGGGAAACACCAAACTGAAGCATCACACTGGGATCTGTGGTTCTGTTGGCACTCTCCTTCTTCTAAGAGGTGCCAGTCCTCCAGAAAGGCTGTCATGAGGTATGCCTGGATGGCCCTCTTGCCCAAGCATTCTGCATTTATGGCCTTACCAGGGAAGCACCACACAAAGGAGACTGCTCCCCATTCAAGCAAAGAAACAACTGAACAAGAATATATCATCAGGGATTCCTAGTGAGATAATGACTCATGATTCCCCTTGTGTATTCTTGGGCAGAAAGGACCTACGGACCTCGGATGCTGCCACTAGGATACTGTCTCCTAAAGATCCGTTCCAAATCAGGACCCATTCGACTTGGCGACTTGCGTCTTCCAAACCATGCCAAATTGCGGCCCCATCTTCAGCAATCGCCTCATTGCAGTTGGCCACCCAATCTTGCCATCCGACCTCGCTGCCACCCCTGCGGCCCCTTGCGGCCCCTGCGGCCCCCGCGGCCGGCCTCCAACATCGTCCCCCACGGGTTTTGTCCGGACATCTTCGTGGCATTTGGTGCATGCAGTCCACATCCACGACGTACAATATGATCCTATAGACCCTCGATTGGTCGAACGAAGTCGACAGAAGTGGCCGAACCGGGTGGCTGGGAAGTAGATGATGAGAATGATGGCCACCAGCGGAAGGAACCACGCCTCGTCTCACGAATTCGGACTCACCAGAGGCGGTGGAAGCTAAGCTCCGATCGTCCAACTCTGGCAACATGCCGACCCCCCTACTTACAAAACCAGCCCAGTTCGGCAAATCTTGCTTAGAGGCTTAGGTGGGATGTTTGATGGGCAGGTCCAAGAATTGGTTGAAAGTTCTAGATCGCCCAGTTGGAACCTCCATCCAAACGCCAAGCCCTCCATCCGTCACCTCCCAGCAGAAACAAGAGCCGTCAGGACCGGGTCCTGACATTGAAAGGGGAGGCTCCGTCGCTTTTGATGGCTGGCTGGCTGGCTGACCATGACTCCGACAGGCTATGTATCTGGACTCTGGACCCAGGGCTTTAGGGACTTGGACATGACTCCGAGTTGGCCCCTCTGCGACCAGCGGCAATCGCTTCGAAGAAGGAGATGACCATCTGACAGATCCTGACAGGGACCCAGCAGGTCACTGGGACCCAACAGTTTCCACAAGAAAGACTTCCGTCTCCTCCACAAGGAGACGCAAAGCTGGTATCAGCCCGAAGTTGTGATCCACACTGATGTGACAAGCTTTTGGGGGTGTTGGGCAGGGCTCATCATCTGGGAAACACCTTCCTTCTCTCTATGAAGTGGCCGTGGCTCGAGTGAGGTGCACATGTCTACCACATGGCTACACAAGCGTCCGTACACATACTCGAGTCAAATGGATGCGGACAAAATCTTGCAAGATTAAAGATCCCTGAGCTAGCGTTCAAGATTAAAGGTCAAACCTGAGACTTCAAGACGGACCTGTCGTTCATCTCCTTCACCATGGGCCGGAATCCAAGGGCCCGGACCCCCGATCCTCACGGAGCTCGCGAAGCGCAGCTGCACAAAGAGGGCGAAGACCATGATGGGAACCACGCTGAGAAGTGCCAAGCCCAAGGGCGGTAGTAGGACCTCTGCTGCAAAACCAGGCGACTCGTCGGGTCTGAGTGGCAAAGGGGCGCGCTGTCTGTCTGGAGTTTTGGACGAGTCTGGGGGCACAGCAGCCTCAGCTTAATCACTGCAGCTGGAGCTGGAGTGATTCAATTCTACAGCCTTAGCTTGATTGTTTACTTGAGATGCCCTCAGCAAGCTCTTGTGGTTGGCTTGGGGCCCGAATCAGTTTCAGTGCTGTCCAAGTGGAAAACGGCTTTTGGTGCGTCCCATATATACTTTGTCATGTTGGCTCCTCTCTGGACGCAGCTCGCTTTGAAGTAACCACCCCCACTCCATGAACTCCTGGTGCAATATTTAAAAAAAACATGAATGTGGCATAATGATGAACAAAGAAACAAAAACTACTTTCTGGTTTTACAGTAATTTGTTGCTTTTTCCTTGGTGCCTGTTTGTTCATCCCCGCCGTGTGGGCACGCGTCACCTGTCACTTGGGCTCCAGGCGTAGGGGAAGATGCATAGAAAAGTGAAGAAGGATAGCACCAGCAGGACCTCGCATCGATGGGCTCCAAGGGCCTTCTGAGAAGGTGGGACTGGGGTGGGTTTGGAGGGTCCAAATACCTTCTGAGGAGGTACTTGGAGCCCTGGGGATTAGCAAAAATCAGTGCTTTCTAGCTATAGGAAACCAACAGTCAGAGTCATTCTGTCCATTGCATAGGTCACCATGAAACTAGGAAGGTCCTGCTGCAAACTACAGGAACAGCAGTCATGTAGTTTGATGAATGAAGACAAACCGAACATTGATGGCAAGACCTCTTCTAAAACCTATTCAAGCGCCTGGATTAAATCTAATCAAGAGCCAAATCAGGAGCCTTCATTAGTATCCTCCTTCTTTAGCAAAGCCTATGCCTATGCCTCTTTGCTCGTGCTTGAACCTTTGAACCCTTTGGTACCTACCAGCCTGCCCAACTGGGATGACTTTCAAACCTGGCACGTCCAAGACGTAATTTTAGATGTATCCTTCAGACACAGAAAACGGCGTGGCTGGGGAAGAAGAATCTTGCATGAATCTTAAAAATATATAACCCCTGGCAGTCCAGTCGACTAAATCAAATAAGGGTCCGACTACATGACCGATATCGAGGAATTAGCTTGACTGTATATTCATGCGTGCATGTGGCTATATCGTCTCTCAATCGGTCGAAGTCGAACAGGGCCAAATCATATTCAACCATGCCTCCAACCCTACACCTCCGTTTCTATCTCCGTTTCGAAGGGTGCTTCGTCTGAAGTGGTGGCCCGCTTGACCGGCTGTTCTTCCAAACTTCTTCCAAGTCTTGTCAGAGGCATTGGCCACAAACACTCGAACTGAAGAAGTCGACCCTTGCTATCCTTACAAGTCGACCATCCATGGGAATGGAACATTTATGTATATTTACATTCATTCACACCCCAAAAATTCAACCACCCCGACATACGTCAATTAAGTCATTTCTCACTTGGACAAACCCCTGGACCGCGGCCTCCGAACGGCCGCTCGAGCGGCCGCGTGTGGCGTGCCCGGCCGAGCGCGGCCGTTGTGCCAGGCCACTGCACCGCCCCAGAAGAGACAGGACCTCGTGCAGAAGCTCACCTCCTCGGTCGACGCAGGGGGTGTCGCAGTTGGACCGGGGCATCGCATCGGTTGGGAAGAAGGTGGCAGTGACCCGACCCAAGAACAGCATACATTAGTATACAGTATATACAAGTGCATTTATATAGATAGATAGATGTAGAATCAGAAGTGGTCTGTTAACTGTTAACTATTGTTGGATGACTCTCTACAAAAATAGTAATCAGTGATTGATTGGTAGCGACTATCCCACCTTCAGTGAATGATAGAAGTAGTCAAAATAGTTGGGTCAAGTGATTCCTGTATCAATACACCCTACAACAAGTCCAGTCTGACCCAGTACAGACCTGGTCTCTTACCTCCTTGAGTCGTGGCCAATTGCATGACCAACTCCATGCAGCTAGCAGGCTACCCATGCAGCCGGACTCTTAAAGCACACCAGGGCCGACTGAACAACCTCAGAAGCCCCGAGCGCACCGTGGGGAAGGGTGTCGCCGACGCTTTCATGGAGGGGTGCTTTCCACAACTGAAGCCCAGAAAACGAAGTAGAGAAATCCATAGAAACCCATATCCCTAAATACATGCTCGTCCGGCCGAAGAAGCCACCTTTCGGTCTCCTTTGGACCCCACGGCCGATTCGCGCGCGATCATGCTGGGCGTCGGCATGGTCGATCTGCAGCGCCGGTTGCAGGATCCCGTTGGAGTCTGCCTAGTCAGGCGAGGCGAGCCATTTCGGAAGTCTCTGGAACAGGTGACAGCAATGCAAGTCAAAAACCTGGCAGCTTCCTGGTAAGAAGTGTGTCTTTTTGAGAGAGCTTGCCTACTTCAATTGCCAGCTTGCCTATTGTAATTGCCAAATGCTGAAAATCTTTGAATGGCAAATGATGGGAACACATCTCACTAAGCAGTGCAACCTGAAGGCTAAACCACTCCTGCAAGCAATCACCCGATGGTTGAAGTTTGATTGACGTGTCCTTCTTCCAACATCCGGGAATCAATACTGGATGCCCTCAAACGGCATGACAGAAATATAGACCTGTTAACACCACTCATTTCGAACATGTAAGACCTCTTCAGAACTTGCTTAGGCCTTTTAGGCCCCTTTCTTCGTGACAAAACGTCTGCAGTCTGGATGGGGACTGAACACCAGTCACGTCGACCCTAACCGATCGCGCGGGTCGAACGGTCTCAAGGTTCGGATGTTCTCAGCACCGCTGAGCGCTCGAGCGCTGGCCTCATAGAAGGCGGTGATGGTCACGCCGGGACGCCAGGCCGCTGGGAGCTTCAGGAGGAGTGGTTGGTCACCAGGAAAGACCTGAAAGACCTGCCGCGAGGAAAGCGAATCTGAGAGTTGTTTCAAAAGGATTTGCTGGTCCAGGAACCAAAGGATATTTCACCTTGGAAAATATATAATTATAGTAACCCAGCAGTCGCAAAGGGGAGCCTATGGGAGGATAGGGGTGCCCATGATCCACTCACTTAGGAAGAAAAAAAGCCCTTTGTGACTCCTGGATAATAAATCACCTTAAGCAAAACCAGGAAAGGAGCCAAAACGCTGAATCACAGATCTTCTGGCTGGTCGTGCCAACTGCTTTCGGGGGATTAACCGATTAACCAAATTGTGAACAAACCTGCTGATCGACCAAAAAGCTTGCCTCCTTCAGCGATTGCGAAGCAGTTCAGCAAATTTAACATTTTAGGAAACATATTGGCGGCAGCGATGTTGTTCCTGTCTGCAGGCTCGATTCCCAAACAATGCGGAAAGAGGTTTAAGAGTGATTTCAAAACATGAGCCATATGGATGATGACAGCACGGTGTATCCCTCATGTGGTGCCCCTCAACTCAACAGGCCAGTGTCAGGGCCGTCAAAAGAGAGGTACCATCCATCTCAAGCAATCTGCTGAGCGATGCGAACATCAACCCCGCGGCACGGTCAGTCAGCAGCCACGCTGACACTAACTGACAAATCCTTACAACTTAAACATAGGGTCGCCGGGCCAAGACCCATACAAGCCTGCATGGCCAAATTGGGCTATACTCGTATATGCTGCTGTAAATGGCCTTGCGCTTGCAACGCTGATGATCCCAGAATACCGCGAAAGAAGCCCTAACAATCCACATGCGGAGGAGTAAATACTTGCCGATCGGTTGAAGGCGACTTCAAAATGAGCCATGCTGAAAACCTTGATAGATTCCTACGTCGTAAGAACTGCCTTACGCGAAAACTTACGCAGCGCTTACGCGACCGCAGTTTCAGCTTACGCGGGGGTGTTGCTTACGCCGCTGCTTACGCCACCTTACGCCATTGCAGGCTTTGCTTACGCAGCATCGATATGACATAACCTGGAAATGTCTGGCTTACGCCAAAGCTTACGCAGAGCTTACGCGACCGCAGTTTTAGCTTACGCGGGGGGAGGTTTTCAGCGTGGCTCAAATGTTGCAAGGAGTTTTCAGAGTCAATGTAAACTTTACACGTCACCCATGACCCTTAAGCAACCGTTTAACAAACCAAAAACACGTCCCAGGGATGGTCTGGGACCCTGGGCGAACACCACCACGGGGCGTGTACCTTGGGTATATGGACCTAGAAGATCCTTTCCCCAAATCGGACGGATGCAGAACCTTTGGCCTCAGGTGCTTCTAGGTATACACCCGGGAACGATGATTGGAACCTGATGGACGCTTGGGCACGAAAAAAGGAGAACCTCAGATCTCTACCGGGTGTAGGTGTGTTCAGGTTTTCATGTTTTCATCTCAGGGCGTATAGGACATGGTCATTTTCCCCCTGAACCGGCACTCCCCGAAATGCCTGGCCTGGTGTGGTTGACAGGTCTCGGGCGGACGGACCAGGACGGAATGCACCACGCCCACCTGGCCAGGTCGAGTTGGCGTGCCGAGAAGGGGCAACAGTTGGGATCAACACTTGGTGTTTATCATACCCTCCAGTCAGGCCTTCTGAGAAGGTGGGACTGGGCTAGGTTGGGAGGGTCCAAAGACCTTCTGAGGAGGTACTTGGAGCCCTACAAATAGGCAGACCCTGGGAGTCCAGGATTAGAATTGTTGAAAGGCGCAAAATTCGTCAGCTGAAAGGGAAGGCTCCTATTGACATGGGTGAGCCACATGTGATCTTTGATAGCAGGGGTCTGTCTATACTTCAGTGACAGGATTGATCAAAGTATGTCAGAAAATGGTGCAATAGAGTTCACAAAGAAGTATCAAACTCTGAGAATGATCCCCTTCCAAAGAGCATTCTCTTCCCACTCCACCCTCGTCATACCCACCCCTCTCATTACTCAAATTTCACAGACTAATTGCCACTCCCAACACAAATCAACACTTGGGATCTCTAGTTCAACCATGTTAAACTTTAAACCAAGTCACTTCCGATTTTCCAGGAACCAAAAACACCGGCTCCCACCGGTCATCCCACCAACACCGGCGGCTCGCTGGGCCGCCTTCCCCAGCTGCTGGTCACTCAAGCTCCGCTGCAGCGACGCATCCGGTGACACCGAGAGGCCCATGGCGGCGCGGGGACGGCGCGCGCGGATCGTGACGTAGATGGATCTCAGGTTGGTTGGTTCCTGCAAAACTCGGAGCTGAGAGTGGATGATGAACAAACAAACCTGAGATCATCATGCATCATCCCTGAGAGTGGATGATGAAGAATGATCCAGGAGTCACAGAGCGAGTTTGGGTGGTGGTTTTCAGTCCCATCCAGTGAGTGGATGTTCTGGGCACCCCGACTTCCTCCAATAGGCACCCCGTCTTGTGACTGCTGGATGACATATTATTGTATAAACCCTAAGACTATCTAAAACTTCTTCTCCAAATCAAGAAGCGTGTCCAATGTGTTGGAGTTCGCAGCACAATGACATGTCGCACCGCGTTTTTTCCCAGCCAGTGCCAATATTTCCCAGCCAGTGCCAATACCTAGGACCTAGGAGCTCTGCGAACCAAGAGTCAGCAAATGCTTGTGGATGGACAACCCTGGACCTCCAAAAACACTCTCGACCTGCAGAGGACAAAAGCGGCGACTTCCATGCGATACTAGCTGACCTGCCCTTGGAGCCATGCCCAGCTCCATCTTGGTGCTTGGATACAGGAACTGAGGCCCTTCAAAGCATGACAGGTCGACTGTGACCAGCAAACCGTTGCAGCACTGGACTGCCATTTGGGATAGTTCCTGGTTGCCAAAGAGAGACGGTTCAAAACTATTTGACTGGATGTGTCCATCCCAAAGGCATCCAAAGGCAGACTTGAACAAACTTCCCATGCCTCTTTAATAGCTTCCCCAGGCTTTCTCACCACTTTTTCCTCCACATCCGCACTTGCCCGCGCCAGCGCTCGATTTTAGGCCCGTCCCGTGGTCGCGAGGATCTGCACGTGACGTCCATGGCAGAGTACTCCCACCAATCCCCGCAGCACCGTGGCGCTTCCCAAGCGCACTGGAAGGAAACCTGAAGCGGTTGAAACGTCGAGGGATCAGGGGCCGTCGGACGGGGCATGTGGCGACAGGGCGGACGGTAAGTGACGAAGGTACAGCCTGTGGCCCGGGAAGTCATCATCTTTCGGAGGTGATTCTATAAACGATTTCTCCTGGACATTTGGAAGGCCAGAAAAACGAGAGCCCCACAAGTCACCCCGCAGTAAGTGGAGTCCAAATGTCCCGCGCAACAACTTCTTCTGTGCCTTTGTTTGAACCCAATTCGGGGGCAAAGCAAAGGGGGAATCTGAAGGGGTGCCTGTAGGAATCCCAAGGGGGGTGCCTGGAGGAATCCCAAAAGGTGCCCTGTTTCACCCACTTTTCAATTTGCGCTTGCCGAAAGGTTTGAAGCCACAAAAGGATCGAATATATTAAAGCT